ACGTCCATGTCAGGAGCTGAGTCTGCACGGTCTTGAACTTGGATCTCCCATGAACTGGAGAATGGAACCTTAGTATTATCCTACAACTACTACTACTAGGCTGACAGCTTCTACTTGCCAAAGTATGGTGTTGCAATGGCATTTGAAGAGGGTATCTGGTTTCTAGACAATGTCCATGTCAGGAGCTGAGTCTGCGTGGTCTTGAACTTGGATCTCCCCGTGAACTGGAGAATGGAACCCTAGTATTATCCTACAACTACTACTACTACTAGGCTGACAGCTTCTACTTGCCAAAGTATGGTGTTGCAATGGCATTTGAAGAGGGTATCTGGATTCTAGACAATGTCCATGTCAGGAGCTAAGTCTGTGTGGTCTTGTACTTGGGTCTCCTGTGAACTAGGGAAAGGAACCCTAGTATTATCCTACAACTACTACTACTACTAGGCTGACAGCTTCTACTTGCCAAAGAATTTCCAAAGTCTTCTTGGTTTGTAAGATACAGTAATGGAAAGGATCTAAATGAGCTGCTGATGAATATGGCCTACTTACTTGGACAAAAGACCACATACAACGTCCATGTCAGGAGCTGAGTCTGCACGGTCTTGAACTTGGATCTCCCATGAACTGGAGAATGGAACCCTAGTATTATCCTACAACTACTACTACTACTACTAGGCTGAAAGCTTCTACTTGCCAAAGTATGGTGTTGCAATGGCATTTGAAGAGGGTATCTGGTTTCTAGACAATGTCCATGTCAGGAGCTAAGTCTGTGTGGTCTTGTACTTGGGTCTCCTGTGAACTAGGGAAAGGAACCCTAGTATTATCCTACAACTACTACTACTACTAGGCTGACAGCTTCTACTTGCCAAAGAATTTCCAAAGTCTTCTTGGTTTGTAAGATACAGTAATGGAAAGGATCTAAATGAGCTGCTGATGAATATGGCCTACTTACTTGGACAAAAGACCACATACAACGTCCATGTCAGGAGCTGAGTCTGCGTGGTCTTGAACTTGGATCTCCCGTGAACTGGAATGGAACCCTAGTATTATCCTACAACTACTACTACTACTAGGCTGACAGCTTCTACTTGCCAAAGTATGGTGTTGCAATGGCATTTGAAGAGGGTATCTGGAATCTAGACAATGTCCATGTCAGGAGCTGAGTCTGTGTGGTCTTGTACTTGGGTCTCCTGTGAACTAGGGAAAGGAACCCTAGTATTATCCTACAACTACTACTACTACTACTAGGCTGACAGCTTCTACTTGCCAAAGAATTTCCAAAGTCTTCTTGGTTTGTAAAGTATGGTAACTGAAAGGATCTAAAGGAGCTGCTGATGAACTTCACCTACTTAATTGGTCAAAAGACCACATACAACGTCCATGTCAGGAGCTGAGTCTGCACGGTCTTGAACTTGGGTCTCCCATGAACTGGAGAATGGAACCCTAGTATTATCCTACAACTACTACTACTACTACTAGGCTGACAGCTTCTACTTGCCAAAGTATGGTGTTGCAATGGCATTTGAAGAGGGTATCTGGTTTCTAGACAATGTCCATGTCAGGAGCAGAGTCTGCGTGGTCTTGAACTTGGATCTCCCGTGAGCTGGAGAATGGAACCCTAGTATTATCCTACAACTACTAATACTACTAGGCTGACAGCTTCTACTTGCCAAAGTATGGTGTTGCAATGGCATTTGAAGAGGGTATCTGGATTCTAGACAATGTCCATGTCTAGAGCTGAGACTGTGTGGTCTTGTACTTGGGTCTCCTGTGAACTGGAGAATGGAACCCTAGTATTATCCTACAACTACTACTACTACTAGGCTGACAGTTTCTACTTGCCAAAGAATTTCCAAAGTCTTCTTGGTTTGTAAGATACAGTAATGGAAAGGATTTAAATGCGCTGCTGATGAACATGGCCTACTTACTTGGTCAAAAGACCACATACAACGTCCATATCAGGAGCTGAGTCTGCACGGTCTTGAACTTGGATCACCCATGAACTGGAGAATAGAACCCTAGTATTATCCTACTGGAATGTTTATCCAATGGTGTTGCAATGGCAATTTGAAGAGGGTATCTGGATTCTAGACAATGTCCATGTCAGCAGCTGAGTCTGCGTGGTCTTGAACTTGGGTCTCCCGTGAACTGGAGAATGGAACCCTAGTATTATCCTACAACTACAACTACTACTACTAGGCTGACAGTTTCTACTTGCCAAAGAATTTCCAAAGTCTTCTTGGTTTGTAAAGTATGGTAACTGAAAGGATCTAAAGGAGCTGCTGATGAACATCACCTACTTAATTGGTCAAAAGACCACATACAATGTCTGTGTCAGGAGCTTAGTCTGCGTGGTCTTGAACGTGGGTCTGCCGTGAACTGGAGAATGGAACCCTAGGAATATCCTACAACTACTACTACTACTAGGCTCCTTGGTTTGCAAGATACAGTAATGGAAAGGATCTAAATGAGCTGCTGATGAACATGGCCTACTTAGTTGGTCAAAAGACCACATACAACGTCCATGTCAGGAGCTGAGTCTGCACGGTCTTGAACTTGGATCTCCCATGAACTGTAGAATGGAACTCTAGTATTATCCTACTGGAATTGCTTATCCAATGGTATTTGAAGAGGGTATCTGGATTCTAGACAATGTCCATGTCAGGAGTTGAGTCTGCGTGGTCTTGAACTTGGGTCTCTTGTGAACTAGAGAATGGAACCCTAGTATTATCCTACAACTACCACTACTACTAGGCTGACAGCTTCTACTTGCCAAAGAATTTCCAAAGTCTTCTTGGTTTGTAAGACACAGTAATGGAAAGGATCTAAATGAGCTGCTGATGAGCATGGCCTACTTAGTTGGTCAGAATACCACATACAACATCCATGTCAGGAGCTGAGTCTGCACGGTCTTGAACTTGGATCTCCCGTGAACTGGAGAATGGAACCCTAGTATAATCCTAATATAATTGCTTATCCAATGGTGTTGCAATGGCATTTGAAGAGGGTATCTGGATTCTAGACAATGTCCATGTCAGAAGCTGAGTCTGCGTGGTCTTGAACTTGGATCTCCCGTGAACTGGAGAATGGAACCCTAGTATTATTCTACAACTACCACTACTACTACTACTAGGCTGACAGCTTCTACTTGCCAAAGAATTTCCAAAGTCTTCTTAGTTTGTAAGATACAGTAATGGAAAGGATCTAAATGAGCTGCTGATGAACATGGCCTACTTAATTGGTCAAAAGACCACATACGATGTCCGTGTCAGGAGCTGAGTCTGCGTGGTCTTGAACTTGGGTCTCCCCGTGAACTGGAGAATGGAGTCCTAGTATATCTTACAACTACTACTACTACTACTAGGCTGACAGCTTCTATTTGCCAAAGAATTTCCAAAGTCTCCTTGGTTTGTAAAGTATAGTAACTGAAAAGATCTAAAGGAGCTGCTGATGAACTTCACCTACTTAATTGGTCAAAATACCACATGCAATGTCCATCTCATCTCATCTATGAACTGGAGAATGGAACCCTAGTATTATTCTACAACTACCACTACTACTACTAACTACTAGGCTGACAGCTTCTACTTGCCAAAGAATTTCCAAAGTCTTTTTGGTTTGTAAGGTACAGTAATGGAAAGGATCTAAATGAGCTGCTGATGAGCATGGCCTACTTAATTGGTCAGAAGACCACATACAATGTCCGTATCAGGAGCTGAGTCTGCGTAGTCTTGAACTTGGATCGCACATGACTAGGAGGATGGAACTCTAGTATTATCCTACTGGAATTGCTTATCCAACGGTGTTGCCATGGTATTCGAAGAGGGTATCTGGATTCTAGACAATGTCCATGTCAGGAGCTGAGATTGTGTAATCTTGACCTTGGGTCTCCCATGAAACCCTAGGATTATTCTCTTGGAATTGCTTATCCAATAGTGTTGCAATGGTATTCCAGGAGGGTATCTGGATTCTAGGCTGATAGCTTCTACATAACAATACATTTCCAAAGTCTTCTTGGCTTGTAATGTACCTGGAAGGATCTAAAACAGTTGCCCAGGAACACTGCTTACTTAGTTGGTCAAAAGACCACTTGCAATGTCCATGTAAGGAACTGAGTCCTGAGCTTGGGTCTCCCATGAGCTGGAGCATGACGTATCCATTCTGCGACTGCAGCCTTGGCTTCAGTGGTTGGACTGGCCATAGTTCTGCAGACCTGAATTTCAGTTAGAACGAGTCTTTCCGGGCATCTGACCAATTGACCAATCAGGGTGATTGTATATTGTGCGAACATTTTTGGCAAACAGGCTTACTCCACCCACAAAGCTAAAATGGTTGGATCTCTTCGCGTGCTAACTTCCTCCAACAAGAACTTCATGACCATTCGAGACCAGTACAAAAATCCTTCAACAAATTTTGTGCCCCATTTACTACTTGAAAAGTCAGGTGAACCGTGAAATGCCTTCGTTGGGGTCTACAAATCTTTATGGTAGAGAAAACTCTTCGCCTTTTCGGTCTTGTTTTTCCCTTCTGTACAATCTGTAAAGTGTTTTTTTCATGTAAGTGTTGTCAGTTGAATTTGTGGTCGAGAGGAAAATACAGCAATTTTTCGATCGCTGTGAATTTGATATCAAAATGCCTCAAAGGGGAGTTTGATATTGTAATCGTCCAGGTCCTCTCCGCAGCAAGCTGGTGGGGGGGCTTTTCTGCTCAGGCTGTGGCTGCTTTCTCAAGAAAACCAACGGTAAGACTTTGGACATTTTTTTGCTTTGATGCATCTGATGATGGAATGTAATTAGCTGATTTTGCACTTAAAAGTCGGTTGAGCTTGAAGCTTTACCTACTCCATGTATTCTCAACTGTATACTCCATAATAGGGGGTCCGAAAACCAATTCATTGTAAGATCTCCAGAACTCTTGCAATAACCAATTCCCTTACATTGGTGGTCAGTGTAAAATACCCATCAGTGGGAAAATGTCTGGGGGTCAGGTCAGTAGGAAGAATGTCCCTTACATTGGGGGTCAGTGGGAAGAATGTCCCTTACATTGGGGGTCAGTGGGGGGGTCAGAATGTCCCTTACATTGGTGGTCAGTGGGAAGAATGTCCCTTACATTGGTGGTCAGTGAGAAGAATGTTCCTTACATTGGTGATCAGTGGGAAGAATGTCCCTTACATTGGGGAACAGTGGGAAGAATGTCCCTTACATTGGGGGGGGATCAGTGGGGGGTCAGTGGGAAATGCCCCTCCCTTACATTGGGGGATCAGTGGGGGGTCAGTGGGAAGAATGTCCCTTACATTGGTGATCAGTGTGGGAAGAATTTGGTGGTCAGTGGGAAGAATGTTCCTTACATTGGTGATCAGTGGGAAGAATGTTCCTTACATTGGTGGTCAGTGGGAAGAATGTCCCTTACATTGGTGGTCAGTGGGAAGAATGTTCCTTACATTGGTGATCAGTGGGAAGAATGCCCCTTACATTGGTGGTCAGTGGGAAGAATGCCCCTTACATTGGGGATCAGTGGGAAGAATGTCCCTTACATTGGGGGTCAGTGGGAAGAATGTCCCTTACATTGGGGAAGAATCAGTGGGGGAATGTCCCTTACATTGGGGGGAAGAATCAGTGGGAAGGAATGTCCCTTACATTGGTGATCACATGGGAATGTCCCTTACATTGGGGAAGGTCAGTGGGGAAGAATGTCCCTTACATTGGGGGGTCAGTGGGAAGAATGTCCCTTACATTGGGGGTCAGTGGGAAGAATGTCCCTTACATTGGGGGAAGTCAGTGGGAAGAATGTCCCTTACATTGGTGGTCAGTGGGAAGAATGCCCCTTACATTGGGGTCAGTGGGAAAGAATGATGCAGTGGGAAGAATGTCCCTTACATTGCTGGCCAGTGGGAAGAATGTCCCTTACATTGGGGATCAGTGGGAAGAATGTCCCTTACATTGATGGTCAGTGGGAAGAATGTCCCTTACATGGGGATCAGTGGGAAGAATGTCCCTTACATTGGTGGGTCAGTGGGAAGAATGTCCCTTACATTGGGGGTCAGTGGGAAGAATGTCCCTTACATTGGGGGTCAGTGGGAAGAATGTCCCTTACATTGGTGGTCAGTGGGAAGAATGTCCCTTACATTGGTGGTCAGTGGGAAGAATGTCCCTTACATTGGTGGTCAGTGGGAAGAATGTCCCTTACATTGGTGGTCAGTGGGAAGAATGTCCCTTACATTGGGGGGTCAGTGGGAAGAATGTCCCTTACATTGGTGATCAGTGGGAAGAATGTCTCCTTACATTGGGGTCAGTGAGAAGAATGTCCCTTACATTGGTGGTCAGTGGGAAGAATGTCCCTTACATTGGGGGTCAGTGGGAAGAATGTCCCTTACATTGGGGTCAGTGGGAAGAATGTCCCTTACATTGGGGGGGGAAGAATCAGTGGGGAAGAATGTCCCTTACATTGGGGGTCAGTGGGAAGAATGTCCCTTACATTGGTGGTCAGTGGGAAGAATGTCCCTTACATTGGGGGGTCAGTGGAAGAATGTCCCTTACATTGGGGGGTCAGTGGGAAGAATGTCCCTTACATTGGTGGTCAGTGGGAAGAATGTCCCTTACATTGGTGGTGTCAGTGGGAAGAATGTCCCTTACATTGGTGATCAGTGGGAAGAATGTCCCTTACATTGGTGGTCAGTTTGAAGAATGTCCCTTACATTGGAGGTCAGTGGGAAGAATGTCCCTTACATTGGGGGTCAGTGGGAAGAATGTCCCTTACATTGGGGGGTCAGTGGAAGAATGTCCCTTACATTGGTGGTCAGTGGGAAGAATGTCCCTTACATTGGTGGTCAGTGGGAAGAATGCCCCTTACATTGGGGTGTCAGTGGGAAGAATGTCCCTTACATTGGTGATCAGTGAGAAGAATGTCCCTTACATTGGTGGTCAGTGGGAAGAACTCTGGTTGAGAATGTCTGACCTACTCTATCCAAAACTCAAAAGATGAACTTTAATCTTCTATGGGAGAAGATGGGGCTCCATGCTGAATATAGACCAACGTGGTCATTGGGTACAGCCAGTATTTGCCTTCGTGACTCATTAGCCAATAGATATACAATGTGTCTGTTGCTTTTTCTATTGAAACTCGATAAGCCGCCAAGTAAAAGGTATTTATTTTGTTTGCACATTACATCAGCCGCCAATCCACGGATTGTGTTGGGATTCCCCTTTGTATGCAGTAGATAAAAGCCATGGGTCCAACATCCTCTGCTTGAGATTAGGCACAATCTGCTCCCCGCGTTGCCTATTCAAATCCATCGCTCATCACAGAGAGCTGATGATTAAGAAATCAAACGAAATTATTGGTAATCCCGCGGCAGGGATGGGGGGGGGCTATGAATCGAGAAAACCTCTGGAATCGCATCACAACTGCGATGTGCTAAAGAGGCCAAGAGCTGGCAAAGGGTTCTGAGCCATCAAAGGCCGCGATAAATTGTCCTTCATGCAAAGTCCAAAAAATAAGTGAGCCAGACTAAGGTCCGCCGCCCGTTTCGTACTCTTCGAAGGGATTGATTCTCCTTGCCTCTGTGTGCCGTGCTGGAGATACATTTCCACGGCGCTCTTCAACGTGCCGTGTTCAAGGGATTATGTAAATTTTACAAACCTTCTCCTTAATTTTCTGTATTTCCAACTGTGTTAAAATATTGATTTAAACCCCGCCCCCCCCCCCCCCCCCAAAAAAAATCTGTTGGGAAAAGAGGTGTAATATTGAGCTGTCCTGCCACCCGTACCGAGGATCTACTCTCGCTTGAAAAGAAGCACGGCATTGTTTTGCTGGAGACATCTGCTGTAGGACACTTGAGGTGGATTCCTGGATCTAAGAAGCCGAAGGCTGGGAACAATGAGGAGTTAGGGATATAAGTGACCGCGCTGCCACCGTTGGCAAGACACGTGGCAGAGCTACCAGCTCCAGTGCTGGCTGAAGGACCATCAAACGGGTCCAAATGAAAAAATGTCCACCCTTCACCAGTGCTCGTATTTTCTATGGGATGGGCAACACAGATTAAAACTTAGCCTAGTCCATGGCCTTGCAGTATTACTTCCCAGCAAGGGCACACTGACAACTCATGGGACCCCTCGGGCAATAGGGGATCATGTGGCCCCTGTGTCCTTGCCCAAACTCAAAAAAAGCCTATGAAAAAGGTACCAGGGGCATCTCATGGGCCCCCTACTGACCCCGGGCCCTCGGGCAGTGCCCGAGTTTCCAAATGGTCAGTCCGCCCCTGCTTCCCACTGATAAAAACCTGCTCCTCTTGCAGATTTTTGACAGGTGGGAAGCAGGGGCGGACTGACCATTTGGAAACTCGGGCACTGCCCGAGGGCCCGGGGTCAGTAGGGGGCCCCATGAGATGCCCCTGGTACCTTTTTCATAGGCTTTTTTTGAGTTTGGGCAAGGACACAGGGGCCACATGATCCCCTATTGCCCGGGGGTCCCATGAGTTGTCAGTCCGCCCCTGGTGTTGTCACCTCCCCCGGGACATGAACTTGACCAATGACCACCCCTGGTCCTGCATTGTAGGTGATGAAGCTGGAGTGATCACCCACATTCTAGTGCTGGAGGAGGACCGGCCCACCAGCTTGACCATGAGTCGAGGTAAATATTATTCTGTGTTTTCTCGAGTGATAGATCCCTTAGGTGGAACGATGTTATTTATTTTGAAACTGCCTTGAGTCTGTAATCCAGGTTTATTGCACATTTAACCGCAACAGAAGTCCTCACCTGAAAGAGGACAACAGAAGTCCTCACCTGAAAGAGGACAACAGAAGTCCTCACCTGAAAGAGGACAACAGAAGTCCTCACCTGAAAGAGGACAACAGAAGTCCTCACCTGAAAGAGGACAACAGAAGTCCTCACCTGAAAGAGGACAACAGAAGTCCCTGAAAGAGGACAACAGAAGTCCTCACCTGAGGGACCGCTAATCTAATGCATTTAACCCAATAGGGCTTAGTCATAGAATACAACTCATTTTTTTTCGTGTGAAACGTGTTCGATGGGGTGATCCTTCAGGGGCTGTTTGTGCAATAAACCTAGGTTGTAGTGATGTTATTGGTGTAGATCAAAACAAGAGAGGTCCCAGGACAGAACCTTGGGGGACGCCAATGGAAATAGTAAGAGAAGAGGATGAGGTAGAGTGATAAGTGACACTGAAGGTGCAGTGAGATAGGTAAGATGAGAACCAATGAAGAATACAGTCATGGAGACCAAGGGAATGGAGTCTTTTGAGAGGGGGGTGGTCAATTGGTAGAGAGGAGGTTCCCTTTTATTACATCAGGGTCCTCATCAAAGTCCCCCTTACATCAGGGTCCTCAGTAAAGTCCCCATTACATCAGGGTTCTCATCAAAGTCCGCCTACAATAAGATCCTAATGGAAAAAGCAAGGAGAGAGGAGGAGGTAGAGTTGTGACACTGAAGGTGCAACGAGATAGGTAAGATGGGAACCATTGAAGAGAGCAGTCATGGAGACCAAGGGAATGGAGTTTTTTGAGGAGGAGGTTGGTCAGTTGGCATTGGGGAGGTTCCCTTTTATCGCATCAGGGTCCTCATCAAAATCCCCCGTACATCAGGGTCCTCAGTAATTGTATTAATGGCAGAGGAGAGGTCTTCTTTTATTACAACAAGGTCCTCATCAAAATCCCCCCAACAATAAACCTGGAGTGCAGTGACATCATTGGTGTAGAATGAAAATAAGAGAGGTCCAAAGACAGAACCTTGGGGGACCCCAATGGAAAAAGTAACAGGTGAGGAGTAGGTAGAGTGATAAGTGACACTTAAGGTGCAGTGAGATAGGTAAGATGAGAACCAATGAGGAGTACAGTCATGGGGACCATGGGAAAGGAGTTTTTTGGGAGGAAGGGGTGGTCAATTGTGTCAAAGGACAGCAGAGAGGTCCTATTTTGGTGTAGATCAAGACTAAGAGAGTTCCAAGGACAGGGCCTTTGGGGATCCCCAACAGAAAACGCAAGAGAAGAGGAGGAGATAAAGTGATAAGTGACACTGAAGGTGCAGAGAAATAGGTGATATGGGAACCAATGAAGAATACATTCATGGAGACCAAGGAAATGGAAGGCCTGCATACCTCTCACGGGCACCACCTGTCTGTAGACACCATTCCAGTGCATCTGCTGTGCTCTTGGGTGTACCTCTGACAAGCCCTCCTACAGGCGACCCGTGCTACTTTGGGCCTGACTCCTTCTGTCCCATATCCAGGGGAGTCTGGAACTTAGCCACAAGGAAAGCCCTCTCTCGACTGGCCTCCAACCCCAGGTATGTGATAGTAGATCAAGACTTAGAGACTTCCAAGGACAGGACCTTGGGGGACCCCAACAGAAAACCAAGAGAAGAGGAGGAGATAAAGTGATAAGTGACACTGAAGGTGCAGAGAAATAGGTAACATGGGAACCAATGAAGAATACAGTCGTGGAGACCAAGGAAATGGAGCTTTTTAAAGGGGAAAAGGGTGGTCAACTGTATCAAAGGCAGCAGAGAGGTCCCCTTTTATTGGTGGGAGGTCCCATCAGAACATATTCTGGCCATGTTTGATATTCCACAAGTAGAGGAGTAGAGGAGACAGGAACACCTTCCTAGGCTGCCATTTACCAGCGTGAGGGGTAACTTTAAACTGAGATTTCAGATCTACCCGCCAAGGAATTCTTGTCAGTTTCAAGCACACCATACAGCGATGGGGGTGGCTGGAGAGGAGAATGGCCTCCGAAAAAACGGGAACTTCGAACTTTTCAATACGAGGGCCACGTTGTATATTTTGTATAAAGGGAACTCACTGCTGCTCAGCCCCAGGTAGCAATAGCCCCATGCAGGTTCGTGGTGCCCGCTGTCGGCTCCTGTCAGGCAATCCTCCAGTGTAATGACGTGAAACGGGTCAAAATAAACAATTTTTGTAAAATAAATGAGGCCCTCCTACAACAGGGTGCCCATCAAAGTCCTCCCTTACATCATAGTCCCCTTTATGTCAGAGTCCTCCCCTAGATCAGGGTCCCCATCAAAGTCCCCCCCTACAATAAACCTGAATTGCAGTGACTTCATTTGTGTAAATCAAGAACAAGAGAGGTCCAAGGATAGAACCTTGGAGAGCCCCAAAGGAAGAGGTAGAGTTGTAGGTGACACTGAAGGTGCAATGAGATACGTAAGAGAGAACCAAGGAAGAGCGCAGTCATGGAGACCAAGA